ATTTATATAATTCATTTTGGACCACAAGTTTTAAAAGTTTTCATTTCTTTCTTAAACTACGTGGCGAATCAAACTATCTCACATAAAATGAGACGGAGGAAGTAATATACATTGGGCCCGCGCTGGCGCGGGAACCTAATAACTAGTATAAATAAAAAGCAAAGTCAGAAATTTAATTAAAAATATTTCAAATTCAATATTATATACATATAAAAGATAATTTTTAATTTATATGCTTTATATAATTTTTCAACAAAAATTATTCGTCTGAGCACCATTACTAAGGGCCCATTTGGCCATGCGATATGGTATCATGATATGGAATCATGATATGGTATCATGCTATGAAATCATGAGATGAAATTGAAGGTTTGTTTGGACATGCGATATGGAATTTTGGTGTTGTATATTTTCTCAAAAACATAAAAATCTCATAAGTTGTAAAACTATTAAAATTGCCCCAATTGTTTATTCAATCTTATCAAATAAACAAAAAATTATAAAAATCGCATAATAAATTATTACAAAGTTATTTGTTCTCCACTTAAGTAATTGTTTCATCTAACTTTAATTTAATAAACAAAATTGAACATAAATTGTACTTGATATGCTCATATCTCTCAACTACTCCTACAAATAACCTATAAAGTAGAAAAAAAAAACATACATTAGTGAGTAAATATTAACTTAGAAGTAAACATTTGTATTTGATGAATTTATTTTTTCTAATAAAATGGACTTGGTCAAAAAAAAAAAAAAAAACTTTTTCGAATTTTTTTTTGGTCTTTGTGTCATTTTTTTTATTTTTTTTCTTTTTATAAGAGAAGAGGAATTGATTTACGTATGTACTTAACAATTTTAGTCTTTTAAATTAGTTAAATTTAACATATATATATATATATATATTAACTTAGAAGTTAAATACACTAAGATAAAAATTAACAAACATCACTGACTTCTAACTATTTACAAGAAAAATCAATAGTTAAATATTATAGAATAACGAAATTTTAAAAAGTTACCACAAGTTTGAGTCAAAAACACTTCTAATAAAAT